AAACGTAAGACTTGCCATTTTTTCTCAAAGTTTCTGGATTAATTTCTCTTCTTAAAGTTTAGAGAACAATTTTTCGTAGTCTGTGGTGTTAGAAGAAGCAGCAACTCTAATTAAGCTGCTTAAACATAGATACCCACAATAATGATCTCACTCTCCCACCAGCACAGGTCGTACCCCAACGTTGTCCTATTCTAAACGCTCTGAAAATTTTCACTTGTATCTTCTAATATTTTTAAAGTAGAGAACGCTGTTGAGGACGCCAGATATAAATTCATAGTCATCCGTGATATCAAGTCCTACGAGCAATGGGCAGACTATCAAAGAGCAATGTATTACTAAAAGGGCTCATCCACATCTTTGAGTTTGTTTAGTTGAAAATAGATCTAAGACTGCTCAAAATACTTCTGCAATATTTTCAACGATTTTGTAGTCGTGATTCAATTGGAAACACAAAATCTCAGGCAAACGTTGCTAAATTTTTTTTTATGGTAAAATCGCTAGACAAACTGCTCGCGGCGCAAACAAACAGCTGTCAAACCCACATTAATTGACATATGGAGATCAAAATATTCACAAACATAAAAAAGTTTGTACCAATGTAGGATACAATTTTTTAACGATTCGACTTGCGCGCGCAATTTAAATGGGCTCACCCGAGTCAGATTTTATCTGGAGTGTATTACTGTGAAGAAGTAAACATTAAATCCATTTTCAAGTTAAAACTATAATGGAACTATATGATATCATATTCATATCTATGCTAGTTTCGGTGAACTTAAGTGTTTTTCGTACGCACGCTGTAATTACCACCAAAATCAATAACGGTTAGTGGATAATTCGCTCGACTGTTGGGTCTACATAACTGAATCAGACCCCGATTCGTAACCTGTCAAGAACTGTCAACTGGGCAACATTTCTTAAAATTCGTTTGGCAATATTTTCTGTTGCTAGAACTAAAACAACAAACTTCACGGAGCCACCTACTCGACAACTGTTGTGCGTCAGTGTTGAGCCTTTAAATTTAAATTTTTTGTTGAAAAAGACATATATTGTTTTTTGTGAATAATGACACCTTTATGTAGCAGACGCGTATTTTCAAGAGAACTTCCTACTCTAATATACTCACGCAAAACATGAGCGTGTGTACCCGCCTACTCATGCACACATCATTCATGCGTACGCTTATTTGCGCCGGTTTCATTTCTATTAAAATTTTTTGTGAATTAATTAGAAAACTTTTCCCAACTGCCAGCAAAAGAGTTCTACGCATTATGTATAGAGATAGCGAAGAGCTGTGAAGGCAGGAGAAACATAGTAAAATGATTGAATGAATGTGGGAATACAGTTATGCCTGCGTGGCACAATAACAAAGCGAGATATGTATGTATGTATGTATGTTTGTGTGAATATAGTGTTAAAGTAATGAGCTTGCTCCAACCAAAGAATTATCCTCAGAATCCCTCCAGCGCTCTTTAGTATTCCAAATCTCTTTCTATTGCTTTACGCAGTGCAATCGTTAACTGTGTAGAGTATTACACCTTCTCCTCGGTAATCCAACTCAACTTGAATGTGGAGTTCAAAATATTGGGTTGACTTGAGCGTTGAGTAGAAATGAAGTGTATATTTTGTTTAAAGTCTGAAAGACAATTGAAATGAGCTAATTTTAAATTGAATAAAGCAAAGTTGAATCACTATACAAATGTAAAAACTCTCATATAACCATGTGCATGAAAATGCCTCTCAGCTGTTGAATTGAGTGACGCCTCAAATAATGCCAACGAAATTCTCAATAATCGAAAAATTCATCTGAAACCATTAGGCACGTCTGCAAGTTTAGTCATGGAAAGATTTATGTTATTATTTTGCGAATATACTTGTATACACAATAACAGTGGAAGTTTAAAGTTGAGTGGAAGTAAATAATTTGCGAAATACTCAGACAAATTGGTGATTTTCTCTGTCTGGGCTGTCTAAGTTTAACATTACATAAAGTACATTATGGTATTATTTTGAATGCCCGCAGCGTGTAGCCTAAGTGTTTAGTGCTAAAATTTAATTTTACCTCAACTGATTGGGTGTGGCACTTGTGCGTGGCGTTTGACACCACAGTGCGCCAGTTAAGCAATTACTCGCCTAATTAGTTAGTTTTACAACTTTCATTAGTCAAACAAAAGATAAAGTTATTTCCAAGCAATATTTAAGACTAATGGAAGCATTTTCATTGATATAAGGTTTACCGTACATTTACTTAACCTCTTTTACACTGAGAACATAACCTTCTTTAATTGAATAAGTGAAGAGCGATGTTGCCAAATCGTTGGCTAAGCTTCAAATTTTTAGTCTTAAAAGTACTAATGGATCTATAACTATATTCACGTGTTTTTGTTTTTTATTTAAAATGTAAACATATACTTAACAAACCATTATATAAAATATTGCCCATATAAAGCTATATATTTTCTCATCTCTCTGACAATTTGTGGATTTTATCCATCGATTGGCGATCAAGACCAAATCAAGCCTATTTTTGATACCCGGTTCTGATGTGAACCGTTTTTCAGTGAGAACGTTCTGCATCGACTAGAACAAACGGTAGTCAGAGAGGACAAGGTCAGTTTTAAACCGGTCTTGCAACATTAGGCCGAACGTTATCATGATGGAAAACTATTACCTCGTCTCTACTCGCATATTTTGAGTATTTTTCGGCAAACGGTCGCTTCAATCAATAATGATATGTTGTCGGTAGCGTTCGCCATTAAGCGTTTTACCGGGTGTTAAAAGTTCATAATGCTGCTCCTTCTGCAACCTTCAAATGCAGAGTATTACCTTGACTTCATAAATAGCCGGATTTGCCGTTGATTTGTATGGTTGGCCAGCTTTCACATATGATGTTTTGCGTTGGGTTGTTGTAATGGATCCATTTTTTGCTACCAATCACAATCCAATACAAACACGATTTTTTTGTGGCGTTCAAGCAGCATTTCTGTCATTCAAAACCATCTCTGAACGTCTCTTGGCTTTAATTCATATGACATCTAATTTCCTTGCTTTCGAATGTATCCGGCTGCTTGAGTGACTTCCAAGATTATGGGAGCTCTTATTGGGTTATTCTTTAATCTTTAACAAGTAATGCTTTCAGTTCGTCATCTTAAAACTTTTGGCCGCCCACGACTAGAACATATTTATACATTCATCATAAACTTCCACCAAAATACGATGACTTTCGGCTGCGGTTTTCCCCTTTAAAGTACCAAAGACAGTGGCTTTTAACATAAAAGCCATGTCTTAAATATCCAACAGTCATTCGAAGGCGTTTTGGAGGGTAATTTAGTTTATTTTCCGGCCTACACCTGTCTCCGTACTTGAAACAGGCACGACATCGAACATTTTCTGGTTTATACTAAAGTAACTGAAATAGTTAATAGAATGAAGGTAAGGAAAGTAAAGTGAGGCTGATCTTCACTTTATTCATATCAAAAAGATTATCACAAACCAGGTTACTCAACCGGTGGAACATATCACTCTCTTTGGCTTGAAATAAATGACGTTATGTTTCACAGCTTGATAGTTAGAATAAATCAATTTCAAAATGCGCTGGTTCTCCCGTATTGATTCAATTCTGCATAATTGTGTGATTTTAATTATTTAATTAAAGCAACCAAGCGGAAAATAAAATATATGAATGATTGCTTGTATAAAAGAAAGTTATTCGATTTCGATGTTTCCGACAAATAATCAGCACAATATCAGAATACAACTTTGTATCAAAATTCCTTCGGATATCTCAAAAATTTACGAATACATTTTTTTTATCCCTAAAAGCTAAACTTTGCTTTAAAAATCACTGGCTTAAAATCGGTTTTAGGCACATAGTTTCTCAGAGAAATTTGTTAAAAATAATTTCCAGAATATTTACCGCATATGTGAAATAAAAGTAGATCTAAAAGTGCAATATGAATACTGTTCTTAGAATGCAATTAGGAGTACCAGTGCATATCTGATGACTACTTTCCCATAATATTAGACTCTCTCACTCTAAAATTTAAAAAATTTAAATTCAAATAGCACACAGGTCGAATGCGGAGGAACATGCCTTCCTGTAGTAATGCTTTGGAATCTCACTTACTGAAACAGGCCGAAAGCGAAATTTGAAATTATCAGTAACCAATTATTACAGTCATTAATGTATATTATTTTGGATCTCCAAGCTTTACCCACCTTTAACAGAAGATTTGATTCTATTAATAGTACAATTATTTTTGCCATCTATGTAGTATATGTATGTGTGTATATCAAATACAGAGGCTGTGGTTAAATATATTTTGCCGTAGCCTAAAATTAATATCATTAAGTTTTATTTTGGTTTATGATGTATCAATAACTGCAGATTTCTTCTCATTAGAAATCGAAGTATTTTTAATATAACCATAAACTTTCGAAACCCAATAATGGATTTTTATACATTAAATTTAAGTTTGGCATTGTGAAAGAAATGAATTAAAATCAACTCCCAAGGTTCTGTAATTACACTTCTCTGGAAATATTCTCACTAATCAGGTTTACGTAAAAATCTTGTGAGTGACTAATTATACAGATTTTGTAGCCTCTAATTATGAACAATTTGCTGTGTTGCAGGGCAGAGGTCAGTGACAACAGTCGATGAGAGAGCTCTGAGGCATTGTGACTGTTAATAGCAAGACTATAAAAAAATTTATGTATATTTATGGATCCAATGACGTCGTTAAATATCTTGTAATATGCAGTTTTTCAAGTACATATTATTGTAAAGAATGTTATTCTTTTTTTATGAAGACTCTGCAACATATGCGTCTTATATACCTTAACGGATTTCACGAAACAGCAGGAAAATCAATGATAAATCAAAGTTTCTTAATGAAATCCAACCAATCAAGTTAAAATTTTAATATCCTTGCACATCTTCATAAGCGTACAGTTTTCACTAATTTTTGCTTTCATTTTGCGCTCTTTCCTCCTCACAGCGTTTTAAGGACAGTGACATCGAAGTAAAGCGAAAGGATGGCATCATGTTGCTGCGCGAATTGGCAGCTGAGGTGAAAAATTTCATGGATTTCAAACGCAACGCTGTAATGGTAAGTTCACACATACATACATACGTACATTAATATATTATCAATAAACGTAACTGTAAAGCTACATAACACAGTTATGCCGAAGCCAATGCCAAACTAATGAAGGCGGAAACGCCAAAACTGGCAAAGGCGTCGCGAGGGCGGAATGAAAGTGCGGCGCGTTGGCGCTTAAGAGCGACGTAGGTTGGCAGCCAACAAAATGTCCTTATGGCGCTCGAAAGTAGGCAAAAGCGGGAGGGACGAACGTCGCAAAGCACTGTCGAAGCAGTGAAGTGTTTAAAAATTATAATTTCTTTGATATCCGCGAGCGATTTTTTGAGAAATTGTAACAGAAAGCAACGTTTTTGTTAGTGTGCTTCACGCTGGTAGTGTAGGCATCCATATTATATGATAGTATGGGTATACAATTTTGAGGCAAGAACATGTAACGTGAAAAGGGGAAAAGTGTCCAAATAAGCTGCAACTTCAAAATAATGCCGTTAGGCTTTTGTGGCGCGTAATAAGAAGAATCTTAAAAGTGCAGCCATACAATACAGTGGTTAGTTGTATGCCAAGAACTCTTCCACAGATTATGAAGCTTCTAAAATTGTTGAGGCAATCTTCTGGAGTATATGCATGAATATATAAGTATATGCATATATACAAATATATATCAACAAAAGTTATGAAATAGTGTAAGTAAAAGCTTAATACGATTCCGCTATTTTATATAGCTGCGAGCGCTTACGCTTGCGTCGAACATAAAACGTAAAGACTCAGCTTTCCATGATTTTGCCATTATGTTGCGTATTTATTGGGTAATAAATAAAAAAGGTATGCATAAACTTTAGTTACCTTAAGATAAGCGCGCGTGTGCAAATTTTATTTATTGGCTGAACGGCATGCCTTTAATCACATACAACTTATTATTAGCGGCTGGTCAATCGATTGCAGTAACTAACAAACGCTGAGGTGTTTTCTCGTTTTTATGACTAGTATAATATTACTGCTTACTTAGTGCGTAAATTTTGGGTCATTGATTTATGTTTCTGCTGTTTTATTTCAAAAGCTCACCTGTAGTTAAAAGATAACAGCGGTTAGTTTTGGATAATAAAAATTAAATAACACATGCGCGATATGATACGGTTGTAAGCCGTTTTACTTTTTAAGAAGTGTTGGGTTCTGAAAAAAAAAAATAGTATGATATTCATAGAACAGTGCGCTGCTTTAATACCATAGATATATTTCCCGTACATAAATTAGGCCCATTGCGAATTTGTAAACGCCTTACCGTTTACGCTCAAAGTTCCTTATACTTGTAGGCATAGCGGTCTAACGGGCTGCCCTATAATCGCATGTAGCATGTTGTATTTAAACTTTCAGTATACTGTGAGATACAAGTATTTTCCACGCTATTCTGGAGACAGATTCAAAAATCTGACCAAATTTATTGCCAAAATTATCATATGTATAATATATGGCGGAAACGTGCCATGAAAAAAATTTTTTTTTTTCCAAAAATTTTCTTTTTTTATAATCTACTGGACGCACAGGTTAAGCTGAAACAAATTTTTTTTTTCGCTCCACCCTACTCCCTATGGTTCTAGGAAAGCCATTTTTACCATCATATCTCAAGTTATTGTTTACAGAGACAGACGAATGGACGGATAGACAGACAGCCATGAAAAATTTAACTCATCTCGTCATCTTGATCATTTATATATATATAACTCTATATCTCTTTAGTATAGTTTTCGGTGTTAAAAACCAATGTTGATTGAAAAAAACTAATATACTCTGGAAGAAAATATTGCGAGAGTTTGAAAAATATACATAACTAGCCAAACCTTTGCATTTTAATACGCAACACTAACTCATGTAACAGATTAGGTAGAGTTTAAAGTTAAACGCCAAATTATTTTGCAACTTCACATCGCTATAGTGTATATTTTATTCACGAACAAATTTAAATATTGTTTCAAGTTGAGAAAGTAAGCTTCGTTAAGCTTTTGATGAGCCAGCAAATATTTGTATATAACTCATATATGATTTAGTAATTGTGGTAGAAATAACTAAAACAGTGTGGCATGCAGCACTGAATCCTTAAATAGATGGCTGTTTGCGAAAAATAAACGAAAACAATATTCAAAGGCAGCTAAATGGCAACAACTGAATCCCATAATATGTGTATATAATATTTTTAAAATTACAACAACAACAAATATACACTCTTTGCACACCAATTTCATTTTGCACCTTTATCCTCCTTATGATATTTTGCCTGCATTGAAGACATTACTTTACTGCTGACACGGTCCAGCAACACCACAAACATCTGCCACCCGCAGCCGTAGTCGAGCCGCATCCGCATCCGCATTTTATATGCAGAAAACTTTGGCACAACTTTTCAGTTTTCGTTCGTTTGCTTGCCTCTATTTAATATTAGGAGAAAAAAAAATTCCGAATTTTCTTACGGTGCCTCTACTATGAAAAGAAGCGTTTGTAACGTTTGTATATGTATATAGTGGTAAATACTCGCCAACAACAGTGGTCCCATGCCACACAACTGCTTCCACTCACACGCTTTCATACCCTTTTCACATATAACACTATTCTGTGAAGGATTATGGTGTCGCTCTTCTTGAAACACCTATCCGAACGTACGGAACCAACTGTGAAGGGATATGCATCGGTTAATATATACACATGTCTTTAGGCATCTATTTGTACATGTTTAGGCGCACACGTGAATTTGCGGCTGCCATTGCTACGAAGCGGGAGGGGGAGCTATCGCAAGCTACGCTTACCTAAATTCATTGCCTTCGTCCATCATTTTATGCGGATATATTTGCCTCCAGGCTCTGTTATGTCTATAAGTGTGTATTTACTAATACATATACAAAATTTACCTCAGTCACATTAATATTTATTAGCCCAAGTATCTTTAGCATTTTTATTATGCATATTTGATAAATTTTACAAGCTTTGTTTTTTTTTGTTGTTGATGTGGCTATGTCCGCACATTACTTTGGATTGAATTATCCAGCAAATCTACAAAAATCCTTTAAATGCGTTTACTAGGGATGCAGAAATGAAATGCTTACATAAATACATTTATGTAAGTTGTGAGTGTAGTTGATAGTTCTAAGTGTGGAAAAAATTTCATTAGATTTGAAAAAAAGATCTCAACAAATATTTAGAATGTGTTAATTTAGGACTAGGCTAAATAATACAATACATTTCTTTAAAATACCCTGAAAGTGTTTAAAAATGCTGAAAGAATTTTAGACGTAAAATTTTTAATTTAAACTCTTAACCTGAGTTAGAGTACACAAGTTGTTTCGGTAGAACAAGATCAATTAAAAGCGTTTAGCATGTGTACATGCATTTTAGGACTTCTGTTAGACTTCTTATAACAAATTTTGTGAGAATCCTTTAAAAAGAGCACATACCTTTTTGATAGAACTAAGTTTTATTTACTCCCAAATTAATATTAGGCCAGTTATATAGTAATTGACTAGTTGTAAGATATTACTACAACTAAAACTAAAACAAGGACTGGTCTGGGAAATCCGAAACGCTTAATTTCTTTATAAACGCTGCTCGAAAGAAAGCGCACAATACTTTGCATATAAAAATTGCAATTAGTCAAATTTAAAATAAATTAATCGCGTATTCAACCCGGACTTGTTCCATTTTTTTTTGGCGATAACTGTTTTATATTCTAATTGGATATGTAAACAAGTAAGAAACTGCTAAGTTCGGGTGTAACCGAACTTTTCACACTCTTGCAACTTGCAAGGGTCAAAGCCGGCTAAATACCTTCAGGTGTTGGCAATATTCAAAATGGTAGCGAAAGGGTTCAACTTCATTGCTCAACGAAATCGTAAATGGGTTACAATCAAGTTTGGTATCATATGAACTTATTTTAAAAGTCATAGACTGCCTTAGTTTTATTACTTATTTATATTGAAGGCCAAGCCATACATATAATTTTAGAAATTTTAAGATAACGTATCCATTTAATTTCATTAAAATATCACACATTTTGTTTAACCTAAACGGTTGAAAGTCATTACACAGGACATATTGGGTGCAGAGAAATGGAAGTGCTAATTGCATAATTTTCGATATTGCACAGTTATACTTAAGAACTTATATTCATGCAATTTTATAAATATATAAGTATATGGTAAACATATATATGAAATAAAGTCAGCCGGACGTTTAAAACACCTAAAGATCAGTTATATATGGGTCTAAGGTAAGTTTTTGACCGATTTTATTAATTTTAGGCAAAAAGTTACGCTGTTATAAGAAAAACACCTTCTATCAAGTTTATTAAAATAACTCCCACATTGGATATTTTTGGAAAAAAATCAACTGGAAGTTCCAAAATCTTTAAATCAGGTACACAAGTATAGTAGGATGGAGCGAAAAAAAAAATTTATTTTTTTGCTTAGCCTGAGGGTAAAATTTGTGGATTATAAAAAAAGAAAATTTTTGGAAGAGCTGCCTATTATTTAAATAATAATTTAAATTTCGAGTTAAAAATTTTTTTTGGCTTAAACTCTTTACACTTATATTAAAATTACCGAATTTGACGGTTATTGAATCAAAATTTATTTTAACGCTTAAAGAAAGCATGTTGTCGTTTAAGACTTTTTTTTAAAACCCCAATTATTTTTTAAAGAGGACTTTTCACAGCTTCTAGAACACTTATCAAAAACTTTTTACGAAATAAAAATTTTAACTCGAAACTTTACTTTAAAATTGAGTGGGATGTTAAAAATGTTTTCTATAATCTACAATCTACAATCTTCTTTTTGGAAAAAGAAACAATTTTTTTTATAATCTACAAATTTGACCTTCAGGATAAGCAAATACAATTTTTTTTATTTCGCTCCAATCTAGTCTATAGTTCTAACAAAAGTATTGACCCAATTCAACCCATTTTGGACACAAGGGTATATTATTATCATAGAAACATTTTTCCTGAATTTCAATAATATATCTCACAG